TTGAAATTGATTGATTAAACTTTTTGTCCCACCCAGTCTGCCGTTACCACAGCAGCCACGCCCACCCAATGGGCCACACCCACCCGGCACTCGACAATGCATAAGTGGGTTTTGGGTTGCAGTTTGGGCACTCAGTCTCTAAAAGGTTCGCCATCACTGTTCTAAAGTCTTAAATGAAGTTTCAGTAACTACCCTGCATCCCACCTACGTTAGCTTTGATCCCACATACCATATACCACCATTTGAAACCATTGCTTTAAGGCAGAGGTGGGGAACTATGGCCCCTTTATGACTAGTGGACTTCAGCTCCCAGAGTTGAGCATGGCTGGCTCAGGGATTCTGGGAGTTAAAGTCCACAAGTCATAAAAGGGCCATAGTTCTCCACCCCTGCTTTTAAGGTGTTATTTTCCACTCAAAGCTGTACATAATTTTATAATAATAGTTTCTTTTCATGTTATATCTGAAATATTCGGAAAGATAAAGAAGACACAGACTACTACCAAATTTGGGACTTATTTTATTGTTGGTTAGAGGAAAGAATGAAGGATTAGGAATTGAATATATATTAGCATAGCTAACCCCAGACAGCTCATTGATTGGAAAAATTAACATATGTATGCAAAAGAAAACCAATAAAGTCTTTATAAAAAAAAATCCTGTGAAAGCTGCATCATTATTGAATACAAACTAGATTTATATCGGAACATCTGCCAGTATTTGTGGCCCATGTGATTGTAGAGGGAAAGAAAATTTGGCTGTTGTATATTAAAGCATTTGATAAAACTACAACAGAGCTTATCTTTGTTTAAAGATAATCCATCCATAGAATTGCTGAGTTGAACTTAGAACTCAAATGCCCCTGGAAGTTTGTTTATTTATCATATTTAGAGATTGGCCATCTTATTCACAAAGAGAGTAACTCTAGGCAATTAAATTCTGCTTCCTAAATCAGGGTGTATTGCACCTGACTTTGCCCTGGTTCTGGCATTCACAATCTGAAGCCTCCGAGCTGAATTCAACCCATCAAAGCCATGGGCTTGCTCCAGAGTGCCTCTAAACATTACTGTTGAATTGTAATGTTTAACGGAATGGGACAATTACTGATACACAGTGAATTATCGTGTTAAATTAATTTCAACCTTAAAATTTAATTAAATTGTGTTTAGTTTTTATCCTGGCCTTGCCAAACCTTGCTTTGATCGTGTTGAAGAAGAGTTTATAGAGGTTCAAGGTAATGCAACTTTTCACAGGGTAGAGCTTGGCAAAAGCAAATCCTACACTGGGGAAAGGCAGTTCCTTCTTCCCTAAATACCTTTTGATGCCCTAATTACCTCAGGGCTCCTCTCACCCAATCCTTTCACTTTCATCAGCCATGATAGATTGCTGGAGTCTTGAGTTCTGTTTTTCTCACTTAGTGGCTACATGTTTCTGCTTAGTCTGCTGAACCTACTCCCTCTTTCAGTTAGCTCATTTCCAGCTTTATGGCAAATCACCCTTGCTCCTCAGCAAACAAAGAAGCCCCACCAAGCTTGTTCAGAAGCGATTCCCTTTCTTTGCTGCCACCAAGAGTCTGCGCCATTTCATCTCAGCTTGTGCTGTTCATGCTAGCAGCATGATGTTTTAGGGTTTCTGACTGTTGTGCTAGAATTTGTACAGCACTGTTAGGATCAATCTTGTTATATTTATGCCTTGCGTATGTGAATACTCATTTCTTATCAGTAGCAGGATCGATCTATCTGTCAGTCTTTATCTATCTGTCTGTCTGTCTTTATCTATCTATCTATCCATCCATCCATCTCCTATCTTTATTTTCTTTTAAAATAACTCAAGGCGGTGAGCATATCCAACACATCTTCCTCTTTCTATTTTCCTCACAACAACAAACCTGTGCAGAAGGTTGGGCTGAGAGTGACTGATTGGCCCAAAATCACCATCTGATTTTCATGGCGAAGGTGGGACTTGAACTAAGGATCTCCCATTTTCTAGCTCGAGGCCTTAACCATTAGACCAATCCTTGCTTGCTGTTGTTTTTGGGAAGAAAGGACCCAATTACTCCTAACTAGATCTAATGAATGCCAGCATAACTCCAAATTTTACTGTGAGTCAGATTTACCTAAGAGGCATTTTTGACATAGAAGGCATGCTGCGTATTAGGCTAAGAAGTTGAGCTTAACGATTAAATCACGAAATACTGAATTTGGAAGTCAGTAAGTTCCATGAATTTCAAGTTCAGGTTCACTACAGTAGTGTCCCTGCCTGCAAACATGTTTGCCAGTTTTTCTTTCTACTTTCGGAAACAACTTTCCCTGCACTGGTGTCCTTCAGGTTTGTTGCAATTAGTTTAGGTAATTCTGGGTGTGGCAGTCCAAAGGATATATTAGGAAAGCCTGCTTTAGACATACGCGCCAGAATCTTTGCTTCTAGTTATGTGTGAAATTCTTTCCTTGCCAGTAACCTGTGTGTGAATTTTTCCAGACACAGTGATTAGGACGAGAGATTCCTGCAACCTTTGTGTAGACTGGCCCACTATGGAACGATGGGAAATCAAGCAAGCTTTGAGGATTCAAAGTCCCTTGTTAAACAAACAAAAAATCAAACTAACATGGTCTTCTGTTTAGAGAGAGGCATCCTTTTTCAGTTGAGTCTCTAGTAAATGAATAGATGTTTTAGACATCCTTGTTATCTGTGGTGATGAGCAAAAGCTTTCAGTCTGTTTCATTTTGCTTTTATGATGTTTCATAAACAGATTGAAACAGATTCCTTTGTTTATCTTGTGACATTTAATAGCAAGTATTTGCAATATATGCAGTCTATTTTTGGCTAAATCAAAATGAGCAATTAAGATAAGGGTGGAGAATATACAGTTCAATTTGAGGAGACTTTGGGAAACAACCATCTTCAAAGAGTTCCCGGGGAGTCCCTTGGGATTTTGCTTGTGATGAATGGTTTCATTCACATATACCCCTGGCTCCTAGGCCATTTGAGCGATGAGGGAAATCCATAATTAGCATAGGTGCTACTTAAATGGCTTGGCAACACATGATAGTATTTCTGGGTATTTTCTGACCAGAACAGCTGAGCCTCTTTCTTTCCTGCCTATATTTGTAGGGGAAGGAGAAGGAAGTGTGTGTCTTGGTCAAAGTCCTTAATGGGAAATAGTATGCCAGTTTTGAGGTGTGGTGTTTATCTAGAGGAGAGGTTTGGAGAAGTGACATCAAAAGGCTCCACACCTTCATTAGCTATTCAGGATTCACAGGTTGCTCCGTGCTTTATTTACCATCTACAGTCTGGCTGAGATGATGAATGATGCTGATCTGGGAAGAGATAAATACCCTGGAGAGGCTTCCGCTGCTTAGTGAGAATGAGATGGGCTTTTTTGTAAGAAAGCAAGGTGATTTTCATACAAAGGCCTAGAACAGTGTTTCTCAACCTTGACAATTTTAAGGCATGTGGACTTCAACTCCCAGAATTCCACAGCCAGCATTGCTGGCTGTGGAATTCTGGGAGTTGAAGTCCACATGCCTTAAAATTGTCAAGGTTGAGAAACACTGGCCTAGAAGAATTTTGACATGTTGGTTTTGAGGCGGAGAAAATATTATTGTGGAAATGGGAAGGAAACTGTGGGGGGGGAGGGAGAGAGAGAGAGAGAGAGAGAGAGAGAGAGAGAGAGAGAGAGAGAGAGAGAGAGAGAGAGAGAGAGAGAGAGAGAGAGAGAGAGAGATATGAAAGTAATTGCAGCTGATTGTATATGATTCCCACACAGCACAGGCCTGTTGCCACTTGTTTGCCTACCTGTTAAACCTCTTAAGGCTTTGGTGGAGACCATGCGGCATGGCAGGACATGCATCAGTACTGTGGAGAAAATGTGTTTGGGTTGTGAAATGCTGAGTTCCATTTAAGTTGGTGAACTTTCTCCAGACTGGCTGGAGATGAGGGAGTTGTAATCTAGCACAGGGCTGATGAAGGAGATGTTAACAGGGGATTGAGATCAGAAAAGGCTCCAAGTAGGTTTCATTAATGGCTCACGTTTAGGTTCTGAGACTGTGTTGACAATTCTGTCCCTCATAGCTGCTTCGGGTGAGATTTATGATCAAAGACCATCCCAATTCAATAATTTACATGTTAACAAAAGCAGCATATGCTTGTGATGGTAAACATGTTTTAATACATCGGGGTTTTATTCAGATAGATTTGTATCTTTTTATTTTTTTTGCCCTGGGTCAGATGGAAATAAGGGAAATAATTATTTAATAAATGGTCTGAGGCCATCAGAAATTATGTATGTATCTTTCCATGTGCAGCCATCCTTTAACAGTAGGCAAGATCATTTCATGATAAAATATTTGTGCTGGTTCAGATTATAACTAGTATTTCTTATGTAATATGTGACATTAGCAGTTTCAGGCACTCTTAAGGTCTGGGCTTGTGTAGGAAGCCAGCAGTACAGGCAACCTCCTTTTTCCCCATTAGCCTGGTGTTTACTGATGCCTCTGATACAGATGGAGAACCTTCATCTAGAGCAGTGGTTCTCAACCTGTGGGTCGGGACCCCATTTGGGGTCGAACGACCATTTCACAGGGGTCGCCAAACAACACAGTCCGCCGTTTTTTTCCCCTTTTCCTGTGCTACTCCCTTTTATTCTTTTGGCTTTTGAAAGCCAATAGAATAGACTCTCTTGAATAGAGTCTAATTCTATTGGCTTTCAAAAGCCAATAGGAATTGTCCAGGCTGTCTCTGCCCTGCTGAGCCCGCCAAAAGTCCCATTCTGCAAACGGTGCTGCACCAGTTAAGTAGTCCTCGACTTATGACCGGTTGAGTAGTCCTCGACTTACGACCGGTTGGGGGTCGTGGCATTAAAAAGGTTGAGAAGCACTGATCTAGAGGTCATCAATGCCCATTGATTGCAAAAAAATAAAATGGCTCCTTAGTTATATAACTACTGCATCTTGAGGTACAGAAGAACATTACACAGTTTTAAAATAAGCCTTTTCTTCCCTCAGAAAATTCCAGATTTTTGGATGCTCCATATCCTGGCAGAGATGAGGGAGTCCCAATCTCTACTGCCCTGAGCATGAGTGTCTCAGATTATTCAATGAGGCAGTTGCCTTCAACTTTAATCAATGCTCCCCACATTTTGGATGACTGGAATAACATGGCGCAAACTCCTTCAGATGCTTCTTCGCTCCTGAAGACTGGAGTGCTGAAAAATGCCAACAACAATGCCTCCTCAGGGCCCTGGAGAAGCCTGAGGAGCCCTTCCTTTTCTGCTGTTGCCTCTTATTCCAAACTAAGCTATCTAGAGCGGGTTATCTTGGAGATTGTGGAATCAGAACGCATGTATGTACAGGATCTACGAAGCATCATAGAGGTTAGTGCAATTGTCGTGCCTGTTGGGCTGTTTACATCACTGCTGCTCTGTAGTTGCCTTAAGGGCCTCCCTTCATCCAATTTTGCCATTGCAACCAAGAGGGATCCTGGTGGTCTAGACTAGAAGCTGGGAAGAGCTGTAGACCTTCAAGCAGCTTTCATTTCAAAGGGGCTCTCATTGTGTGTTTGGTTACTGCCTTTATGCCTTCCTCTCAAGCCAAGGGTTTCACTGCCCCCTTTCCACACAGGAAAGATTTTTTTGCCTGTCAGGTGAAAGTGATGCACTGTGGGTCAGAGAATCCTCATAATTTGCCTAAAGTTGCCCCAGTAATTTTTCTGCTAATCTGCTATCAGGAATACTATATAAAAAGGAAATAGCTTCTCAATAGATATTGCCTGGGTGGAGTGCAAGCAGCAAAAATTGTCCAATGGGAGCCATCAACAATAGAAGATAAGTTCTCCCCTGAGGGCATTGATTAGGGCAGGGCTTTTCAACCAGTGGTACGGGTACCACCTGTGGTACATTGGTACCTGGCAGGTGGTACGCGACCATCCTAGAAAAGTGGTAGCGGGGGAGGGGAATGAGCTGAACTGGTGGCAGCACCGCACAAGCCTGAGCGAGAGATGGCTGGAGCTGCAGGGCTGTCAGGGCTCAGCGGAAGGCTCCAGCTGGAGCTCGGCGTTGATCCTGGTGCTTCTGCTGAGCCCTGAAGAAGCACCGACCAGCTGGAAGGCAGCACTGATCTTGGTGCTTCTGCTGAGCCCAGAAGCGCCGATCAGCTGGAATGTTGCAGCATCTGCCAAGCATCTGATTTACATTCAGATGCTTGGCAACTGATTCATATTTATGACGGTCACAGTGTCCCAGGGTCATGTGAAGTGACCAAAACCTGCTGCAACCACCCAGCAGACGGGGGGGGGAATAAAAACCAAACACTCTCCACCCCACCCCCGCTGCCAATCCTCAACAGAAATGCTCACAACAGTGAAAACCTCAGACAGGAGGAAGAGTGCCGCTGGGAGGGCAGGCAGGTGTCTTGCTCGGCTGTGGCTTGGGGGGCACTTTTTTCAGTGCCATTGTAACTTCGAACAGTCATTAAGCGAACTGTTCTAAGTCGAGGACTACCTGTACTTTATCACCTTTTTCCTTTTTTTTTTTTTGTCATCAAGTTTTTGACACCTTGCTAGGCAACTGGTGGTACTCGGATATTGCCATATCCTAAAAGCGGTACAATGGGTGAAAAGGTTGAAAAGCCCTGGATTAGGGTACCACTCCCACAATATTGGGTTAGAACTCGTGGTGGTGGTCTGCCCTGTTTTCTTGCTTGCTGACTACATGGTGATGCTCATGGCATAATGTGACTTGGCAGAATTACTTGGGGAAGATCATAGACACTCAGGAGCTGTTGTTGCGGCCAGAACAAGTCAGCGCACTCTTTGGGAACATTGAAGACATCTATGAGCTGAACAGGTGAGTAGTATAACACACAATCCTTAGAGCTTCCCTGTCATTTCCATTGCTGCTCACTTTACCCAGTTCCCCTGTAAAGGTTCAATCCTCTCTGAAAAATAAAACATGGCAGGAAAAGGGCTTTTTCTAAATTATTCCCATAAAGCTCTGAACCACCACTTCAGTGCACCCAACTAAGACCGCCTCTGGTGACACAACAGTTATTGTCTTCAGCTAGTCCTTGCTGCCACTGATTTATGTTCCTCACTTCTACCAGATTTAAAAAATCAAGGACCTAGGAAGGAAAATGACTTCTCCTTTTGGCTGACTAAGAAACACAAGGGCACCCTAAACCCAGTGTTGGATAATGGCTATGGTGAGGTCTAGGCTTAGGCTTGTCAACATGCCCAAGTCTTTGTCCTACCGGAGATGTATTTATATTTGCTGCCCCTTCCCTAATTTTTCTTAGCCCAAATACCTATGAATTTTATTATCTTTTAAAAATGTTTTATTCCCAGTATGAATTAAGGCCTTAAATGTCTTGGAATCAGATTACCTGAAAGGCTGCCTTCTCCCTTATATCCTTATTACAATCTTAAGATTTCTTGGGTGATTGGACTGTTATGATATTAAATGGATTCTGTATAAAATATTGGGGAGTAATCTGATAAATCCATGCAAAGAGAGATTATGCCTCCTTTTACTTTGGCTTATTGGAAGTAAAAGCCAAGCTAGATGTCCCACCCATACCCACACCCAGAAATATAATGGTGAATCTGAAAATATGGCTTGGTATTATGTGTGAACTGGGGCTCTGCTATGGACCAAACAGCCTTACTATAGTGAAGAGAATGGTTTAGCAGCAAACAGCATCTTCCTACCCTGATTGGCTAAAACTCCTAGAGCAGAGAAGTAACAGTCCTCTTTCTTTGTATGAGTAAATTATAAGGAACCGAAGGAGCAAGGGCAGATTGAGTCCAATTTGTTACAGGTGTTCCATGCCAACTTTGCAAATCTGCTTCCTCTCCTGTGTTTTATTTTCTTAAACTTGTAAGTTTACAAGTTCAAGACAGAAATTAACTCATTATTTTTTTATCTATGAGAAACTTAGTACATTGGAGAAAATACAGTATTCTCAGTTTAGGATCCCAAACTTATTAATGTTAACAGGTATGACTATATAGGTGGTTGCTGAGTGAGAATCAGCTGGTTGTTCAGCTAGTGTGTGTCCCCACTTTCTATAACATCTGCCTTGTGTTTTTGGTTCCTTTGACAGTGGTGGACAGGCTTCCCCTGTACAGGTGGGTACTGGGCCCAAATCCTTTGCATGGCCTGCTGCTCTGCATTTGATTCTGAAACTGCAGTGTATTAAAGGTTGTTTTGAAATTTGTCTCCAGCATGTCCCTATTTGCTTTGTGGATATATGTGTAAGGGAGGATGTGTTTTCAGTTTGTATCACATGTTATGTTTTTATCTTGAGTTGACTGATAAATTATTCTTTCTGTTTCAATTTCTATGCAGTGAACTACTGCAAGATCTGGATAGTTGCCACAATGACCCCGTTGCCGTGGCACAGTGTTTTGTGCACAGGGTAAGCAGATAAAACTGATGTTGCTTTATGCTCATCTCTTGATTGTTCATAATTGGATGGTTCAACACGCCCTTCTCTGAATAAATGCTTTGTCACCCTGAAGTGGGTTGATTCCATTGAAGCAGAAATGGATAGTCCACAGGCCCTGAAGCAGCCTGACATTATAGCTTTGGGAAGAGATGGCATCACAGCTCCATTTCAGGAACAAGATTTTGGGCTAAGAAACAGAAAGGGAAGGATAAGTATGAGAGCACCAAATCTTCCAGAAGTGAAACACCTTCTTTCTCTTTCTTAAAAGCCTTTCTTAAAATCACTAAAAGCCAAGATTGGCCACTCGGCTCTGCTGGGTGATCAAGAGAATTAGTGGCAGCCTGGGGTCTGAAAATTTTGCCCAGCTGTGCATCAAAGAGAACAGAGATTAAGGGTCCTTGGTGCTCTCTGAGCTTGCTTGTTTTCTTGCAGACGTTTCATTACCCAAACTAGGTAACATCATCAGTGCTAGTCCAGGGGTTAGCCCCAAAACATACCCAGTGAGGTTGGTGTTGGTATCTGTGCTGGACATCTGGCAGAGACATTTGCAGAATGGCCGACATTAGGGAAAGGGATAAATTGAACATGTCTTACGGACCTTTCTCTCTTTTCCCAACAGAGCCAAGACTTCAACATCTATACTCAATACTGCAATAACTATCCAAAGTGAGTGTCCTTTGCAGTGCAAAAAGGGGATGTGATTTCATGAAAGCAGGGACAGCTAGTTCTTCCTACTAACATAATCTTTTTACATATACTGTAAAATATGCTTCTGGGTCATCGTATTGCTAAGAATAGTTCATATATAGAACAAGATTATATTGTGCAAGTATATTTAATTCGTATTCTCCTTCGTTGGTAATTCATATTCGGTGACAAGATGTCTCAGATCTTAGGGTTTGTTCGGAGGGTCAGCAATGCAGTATCAATAGGCACCAGACGGCTCCTCTAGATAAATTAGAATTAAGTAAATTCAGCTATTTTACCAAAGTTCCTGAGATTATGGGCAATTGGGTTAGGCAGTGCACCCACACCTTTGGGCCAGAATCACGTGATGGTACCCAGAGCCTAACTAATTGAGGACTGCTAAGCAATCCTTCAGCTTCTGATTCATTTGGCATTTCTGCATAGCCACTCTTCCCCACAAATGCTCAGAATCATACTTGGATCATTGCAGAAGTATTTCACTGCTGAGAAACCTTGCAAATTGTCCAACACATATTTTGACTGATCAGTGAGGTGTGCAAAACTTGACACTGTACCAACAGCCTAGTCCTCACCCTTGACCTGCCATGTTTGTTTTGTGGTGAGGGGTTAAACAGCCACTCAGTATGGAAACAGCAGCACCATTTTCAGTTGTACTGGAAAGAACAAGGAAGTAGCACTCAAGTATTGTGACGCAGAGCCAGTTGAGGTAGGAATTCCCCCCAGTGGGAAAATGCCAACCCTGCAGTCCCAGTGGGACTATTTCTTTGCAGCATTTTCTCTTGAGCAGCAGCTGAGCAGGAAATTAATTCTGCTCAGTTACAAACGATTGCCATAAGACAAATAATTAGGTGGGGTACTGAACATGCACAGGGACTTGTTAATAATTGTTAGATCTGGCCAGAAGTGGTTCCAGATTCTCTGCAAAAACGTGGCAGGAATGGCTTGTAGCAATGTGCAGTTTTTAAGCCAAGAAGCTGTGCTTTTTGTGAGCTTGTGTGGCAGCTGTGTGATCCCAGGCAAATACACATACAAGAGAAGGAGACATTAAGGGGACGACAACAACACATAATTTGGCTGTCACTGGTCCTCTTCTGGCTCATTGTTTTAGCCCCTTATTGCTGTCCTTTACTTGCTACTTTGAGCAGATCTGTCCTTCAGAGAATACAGACAGTTGTCTTCTTTGATGCCATTCATTTTGTGTTGGCTTTAACTTTCCAGCTCTGTGGCAGCTCTGACTGAATGTATGAGGAACAAACAACTGGCCAAATTCTTTCGGGAGAGGCAGGAGCAAATCCGGCACTCCTTGCCCCTGGGCTCCTACCTTCTCAAGCCTGTCCAGCGCATTCTCAAATATCATTTGCTTCTTCAGGTAACACAGACTTTCACAACAGGTTACTTACTTTGTCTGACTCTGCAGCTTTGGAATCTGTTTTAACTTTCTTTTAAAGATTGAGAAATGCAGTCTGCCTATTTTTCCTAAAACAGTACCAACTACCTGTACAGTACCATGTTCCAGGAAAGGCCATTTCTCCTTTGAAAAAGTATTGGTTGATGTGGTACACATATGGGGATATATAGAATTAATTTCTATAATATAGAGAACTGTGATTCATGCCCCCATTGTCTCTTGATTGGAATTCTGGAATACGTGTTACACGAGACTTGAAAATTGAAAAGTGCATTTCATCCAAACTGCACTTGACCAGTTATTACAGAGAAAAATGGGTTTAGTCATGTAATAGCAATCTTCTGAGGACATTTCTGTCTACCAGTAGCTTTGTGAGCTTTAGTCAAGATGCCAGTGTTAAAAGCTCTGCATGGGCCATCATTTACAGGATTGACTCTTTCCTCTGGCCTTATGAGTTCATCTTGAGAAGGACTCTGAAACTTCCTATCCCATGCGGTTAAAAGCATGGCCTCAGAGGGGCACCTTCTTGGTGGCAGCCTGTATTATGAAATATGCTGCCTCCACCCATTTGCCTTTTGCAAAGCAATTAAGATCATCGGGTACCAAAGAGCATTTGCTGCTAATGACGGACCTGAAATATTTTTTTAAGTTGATTTATAATTATCCTATCCTACCCTACCCTATCATATTTATATTCTTATAAATCACCTTGAAGCCAGTATGGTATATAGTTAAGGCACCAGGCTAGAAATGGAAAACCAGATGTTCTAGTCCCACTATAAGCACAAAGCTATCTTGGGCCAGTCATATACTCTCAGCCGTAGGAAGCAAGCAGTGATGAATCCACTTCTGAAGTCTTCTGAAAACTGTAGTGACTTGTCGAGATAGTCATCATGAGTCAATGCTGACTCAGAGAGAGAGAGAGAGAGAGAGAGAGAGAGAGAGAGAGAGAGAGAGAGAATATAAGTAAAAAAAGGATTGACTTCTCATTGGAATCAAATTTATGTGAACTTACTTAGAATGTTATGTATTCAAATGTAAGAATCCCTTACCTGTTTTTCAGATGTGAAGGCAATCTGGTTGTAATGTCAGTTACCCCACTGATCACTGAGGTTGCTTTGTTTTCCAGAAAATTAATAAATATCCACTGAAAGTTCTTCATAGAAATCCATAATACTGCAGGCTGACTTTTTTTAGTATGGTTTTCTCCTAGGAGATAGCAAAGCACTTTGACAGAGAAGGAGATGGCTACGAGGTGGTGGAAGAGGCAATTGCCACCATGACCTGTGTAGCTTGGTACATCAACGACATGAAGCGGAAGCACGAACATGCTGTGCGGCTGCAGGTAAAGAGAAAGGAGTATGCTGGGCCTGATCTGCTTTCAGTCTGAAACACGGGTGATAGGTAGATGTAGTAGTATCAATCTAGTAGGGTCAAGTATGTTCAGCCCTCTGAAAACTCAAGTGATACACCTTACACGGTTCTAAAGAACCTCAAATGTTCATGATATGATGTAACCTTAGAATGACGTAACCTTAGCAAGAGAAAATAAAGTACAAATGCATTTATAACTGCTGTCAAGAAGATCAGAAGCATTTCTTTAGAATCTTTCTTTACCTTTTTTTTCCCTCTATATTTTTGGTCTCTTTCTTATTACTTTTCTTTATTCTTCTTTAATTCAAAATATGTACTGTTTTTAATTCTGTTGAAAAATGTCTTGAATAAATTGCCATAAGATTCAAGCAGCTTGTAAAAAAAAACCTTAAATATTTCCTCTCAATTCCTTGAAATGGCCTTTGAGAGAGTGGCAAGCTTTTCCAGCCTGCTGTCTTCCAGTTGTTCTGGGCTTATTTCTTATGACTGCTCTTCCCAGCACATCTGGAAAGTCACCAGTGGTACAGGAAGGTTAAGATATAAAAACATTAATCTTTCCCTTGCCTTTGCAGGAAATCCAGTCTTTACTTATCAGCTGGAACGGCCCAGACCTGACAACTTATGGTGAGCTAGTTCTAGAGGGCACATTCCGGGTGCATCGTGTCAAGAACGAGAGAACATTCTTTCTTTTGGACAAAACCTTGCTGATAACAAAGAAACGGGGTGATCACTACATATGCAAGAGCCAGATTCCTGTAAGTGGGGCATCCTTTATTTATCTCTTTTGCATTAGAAATTGGGGCTTGCTTACTATTTGTTTGTTCTATATTTTTAAATGAGATTGAGGATTTGATATCTTGGCCATCAAGGTGAGACAGTAGAAGCAAGAAGAGATGAAAAGGCTGACATTCTTTCTTAACTAACATTTTCTTTCTGACAGCTGAAGTTGATGTGAATTTACAACCACAAGACAAACACGTCTGCCTGGATGTTTTTTTTTATTTCCTCCCTCCAAGGCTGTCTTTTCTTCACATGCAACCCTTTCCCCACCTAAAAAACCAGAGGCATTAGAAAAGAGGCTTTTCAAACAACATACCAGCTTGAAAGGAACTTTTTATAAATTTCTTGTCCTTGAAAAAATGATATTTATTTGTTAAATTTATTTGCTGCCTATCTCGCCATAGCGTACTCTAGGCTGTTTACAATAATAAAAAGGAAGAAATGAAAAGAGTGTAAACAAAAGTAAGACAATAAAACAATAAAAACAAAAACAAAAAAATCACAATGAGAATGCAACAATATAACAAAGCTGGATGGGTAGAGAGCAGAGAACAAGAGGGGGGGCAGGTGGATCAATTCAGCAGCCACCTCCAGGTACACATACATATACATGCATATGTGTATATACATATAGAGTGAAGATACATGTACACATATGTATATGTGTCCCTCAAGTCTTACTTGCATTAGAGATGGGAAAGGCAAAGTTAAAGATAATAGCTGTTCTAGGTGAATATTATTATTAAATGGTTAATTTAATTATTAAACCAGTTAAGTATGTTATTGTCATTTCCTCCTAACCAAAGAAACCCCTTCCCAGCCCTTGTCTGAGTATTCTTGGCTTATGTCAGGGGTCTTCAAACTTGGCCCTTTTATGACTTGTGGACTTCAACTCCCAGAATTCCTGAGCCAGACATGCTGGCTGAGGAATTCTGAGAGTTGAAGTCCACAACTCATAAAAGGGCCAAGTTTGAAGACCCCTGGCTTATGTATTAACTTCAGTACTAAATGTAGTGCAGCTACTGTTCCTAGCCTTAGCCAAAGGACCTCCCTTTCTTTTTCTTTTTTTTTGCACTAACAATCCCATCCCATTCCAAAGGTACAGAGCAGCCACAACCGCTTTTTAAAAATCTGTAGAAACCAAACCTGGCCATGCACTTTTTTGCCCCAATAAAATGAAGGTGGCCTTAGTGTCACTTCAAAGAGTTATTCAGTGGAGGAGAGCTCCTCTTTCCTCAAGTGATATACGAGGGGGGTGGGAGGGGGTATAACATGATGGCATTAATTGCCATGGCTGAAGTGACATCTCTTGTCTGGCCTGCAGTGTTCCTCTTTGATGCTGATCGAGAGCACACGGGACTCTCTTTGCTTCACTATCACCCACTACAAGCACAGCAAACAGCAGTATAACATTCAGGTGAGATGAAGACCCATTGACATTATCAGTGGATGGATGGTGTTGGTGACGGTGGTGGGTTTGAAGCTCAAGCTGGGCAACCTGCTTGTAGCAATGCTGGCAGAATTGAGGGATTGGGGAAACCAGCAGAAGGACTGCAAAAAAAACCAAGTAGTTGTGAGCTTCTGTGTGGCAAATCAGACTGTGCTTGAAGGAAGGAGGTGTAAGGTAAGGAATACGACCAGCTTGGGCTTGGGATGCAGCATCACATGATATGAGCACATTGAGATAATCCATCCATAGGAATGAAATTTGAATGCTGGAGAAGGTAGGGTTGGAAATAACGAGCAGACGTAGAAAGAATGTACACTTTGAGCAAGAACAGCAAAACACAGGACGCTTCAGAAGGTTGAGTTACAGCAGGATCACGTGTGTACAACTGTCTTCAACACTCACAGCATGTACTTTCGTTACCAGGCCAAATCGGGGGAAGAGAAGCGGGTTTGGACTCACCACCTCAAGCGCCTGATCTTAGAAAATCACCACGCCATAATCCCTCAGAAAGTGAGTGGGTGTTGCTTTCCCTTCGCTTTAAGGGTCTTGCAGAATGGATGTCAAATTCCCTGGAGCACTTTGGTCCTTCTCTGGAGCACGCTTCCCTAGCTGCTTTGCATTAGAGCAGTGTTTCTCAACCTTGACAATTTTAAGGCATATGGACTTCAACTCCCAGAATTCCACAGCCAGCATTTGTCAAGGTTGAGAGCACTACAGCTCCCATTGTCCGTAATCCCCACGGCCCCCGTGATTTGTAGCCTGATGGCCTGGAAGACACCATCTCAGACTTTATCAGAATTTGTGGGTTTGACAAACAAAGTAACACTTAGTGAAATCATTGGCCAGGCTGAATGGGGCTGTTAGGCGTTCCAAATCAGCCTTCCCAGCCCTCCTGGAGGCATCTTGGTCATCCTGTGTAGTTTTTTCCTGGTTCCTTTTAGTGTACATTCATCCTCCTTACAGATCTTTGAAAGCCCAATAATATTTTATAAATGTAAGAATTCTTCTACAAGAGAGGAGGAATATCTGTGTGGATGTTGGTGCTTATGCTAAGGCTGGCAGTTTGTATCCAACAGCATTAGGGGTTAATGCCTGGAGCAGGAGAATTTATTCTTGACGTTTTCTGCACACGAAAATGAGGTGTGCACTTACCTGTTTCTTTTTTGGGGGATGACAAAAGGGTTGGCATATCCTTATTCCAGTATCATAGCTTCGCTTCTTTATTAGTGAACCTCAACCACTAAAGCAATTCTACGTTTTGTTCAGGCCAAAGAAGCCATCTTGGAAATGGACTCAATCTGTAAGTTTCCCCTCTTCTTGTCTCAGATGTCTGTTTCCTGTTTCTTTCTTCCTTTCCACTGCATCATTGGTACAAGCAGCCAATAAACATGTTATAACTCCCCATCTGGAGAGGTTAAGTTCAGTATTAAAGGTTAGATTATTTCATCAATTTGGGGGAATTTTACAGGATGGAAAAAGCAATAATAAACGGAATGTGGATCCATTGTCCCTTATAGCTATTCCAACTTCTGCTTTCTGTAATTTAATAGCTTTGTCACTGTCTTGGCTTCTTTTGTATGATGCAATATTAGGTGGATTAAAGGTAAAATGGTGCTTGTTCTTGTAAATCAGGAGGGTAACATGGGCTTGTGGTATTTTTAAGATCCAGTCAGAGAAGCCATTCCCTTATGTGTTATACATTTTGGTCACACAAAACAGACACAGTCAGTGTCTTTTCACAAACATGCATCTACTCCTTTCAGATCCTCCTCACTTCAAATACAGTCCTGAGCACTTGAAGAAGTCCTTATCGTGCCAACAGTCTGAAGACATTCTTCAACGGAGTCGGTCTGGACGTCGACAATCAGGTAAATTGTACGGGAGTTGGGGTATGGGCATATTGTTGCTACTATGTCCAGGGAGTGAATGTTGTAGGCCCTGCTGCTGCTGCTGCAAACTCTGACCAGAGCAGTTGGAAGAGAAGACAATTGTGCAAAGATCTCTGGAAGGTTAAGATTACAGGTAGTCCTCAATTTATGACTGGTTGCTTAGCGGCCATTTGAAGTTACAGCCAACCCGAAAAAGGGGATCGATGACCTGGGTTCAAAGTTCTGATGATCAGGCTCCCTCTGTGGTCACATGACCAAACTTTGGTGCTCGGCCATATGGCCACGTTTATGACCCTTTGCAGCCTCCTGTGGTCATGACTGCTATACGATGGTTTTCCGAAAAACCATTACTTCCAGTTTCTGGTTTACTTAACGACTGATGCAAAAACATTGCAAAATTGTGTCGGTTACATGACCGACCTGTTTTGTGAGCATTACAACATTCAGCTGTAATGGCAGGCTCCATTACAGTTGTATGTCAAGGACTACATTTAGAGCTTTTTTATTTCCGCAAGTGGATCCTCCAGCCTGCTTTGGTTTGGGATGTTATTAGGCATTTATATTTTGCTCTAGAGCTCAGTGCAGCTGACAGGGAAATTTCTTCTGCCAAGATCCAGTGACCTCCGGCACAGAGCAGGTGAGGAGTATAGCTTTGTGTATTTTGGACACTTGTATGGGAATTTTCCCTTGACAATAGAGTGCTCTTATCAGCTCCGTTTATGAAGCACAATGATTTAGCAGCAGAGATGAGGTTACCAGAATGACTTGGGTGCAGAGAGAAACGTCAGACCAAAGAAGAGGAAGAAGAGAGAAAAGTCCTCTAGAGACAGTATGCAGATGATCTTCAGGGGTGGCGACAGGCGTGAGCTTGAGAATGGCCTACAGTTTTTTATGGTCTGTCAGCTGTATGGTTTGCCTTGTCCAGCAATGCTGTGTCATACATCGCTGTACAGGCAATCCTTAACTTACAACCACCATTCAGCCCAAAATTTCTGTTGACAGATGTTAACTGAGTTTTGCCCCATTTTATGACCTTTCTGACAAGCAAGTTGACTTTGCTTGTCAGAGGCTTGCCAAAAGGAATCATATGACCCCGGGACACTGCAACTGTCATAACTATGAGTCAGTTGCCAAGCGTCCTAATTTTGATCTCGTGAGCATGGGGGGATGCTGTAATGATCCTAACTGTGAAAAACAGTCCTTAAGTTACTTTTTCAGTGCCATTGTAACTTTGATCACTAAACAAACTGTTGTAAGTCGAGGACTACTTATACTAGATCCAAAAGATGATCCTGCAGTCAGTTAGGAATTGGAATGGTCAGAAGTCCTTATTGTTTTGTTATTACTGCTGCCTGGGAATTTCTTATTATGGTTTGAAATTAGAACGTTTAAATCAAGATGACACAATAATTGTCTGCACAATACCTGAAATGAAGGGTTATCTGGTCCCTGAGCAATCTCTCTTCCACCTCTGAAAACAAGGACTGTTAATTAGAAGCTTGCATTTTCCAACATTGTAGAATTAGAAGAGTAATTAATACCTTACTCCTGTTTTGATTGGTTTGTTCTGCAAAACAAATTGATCTTAACTGAATATATGTTGAAAACGGGGGAGGATTTTGAATCAGGACTGATTAATTTCCTCGGAAAAATGGTGATTCAGAAAATGTTAGGTCTGCCTTAGGAAGTGGTGAATTGACATGGGAAGCTGCAGGTTATATCCATAGCAGAGCTAGCCAGAAATGGAGGGATCCAATTAGTAAATTGCCTCAATTTTTATTTTTTGGAAATGGAATGCTTGGGCTAGTGCCATTTAATGGGGGAAGGAATATATAAAATTTCCTCTTTTATGAAATACTTTTCCTTCCTCATAATATTTGGTCCAAGTTTCTGTCAAGACTCAGTAGACCAGAATAGTTAGATAGCATTTATTACACAAGTGTGGTTGTTATATTTTGACTGTCATGTTTTTGAGGCAACTTTGCAGGGCCCTTAACAGGAAATGAGCATGTTTTAACTCCCACCCTTTGACTGAAGCAGCTGCTTAGTTAAGTTATTGGATCCGTTTCCTTTCTGAACTGTCCAGAGAGCTTGGTGTATTGGAAAACCTGCAAGTTAGTACAGGACTGGCCAAGCTGGTTCTGTTTTACTGAGTGACTTTCGGATGTTGTAATTTCTGTTTCAAGATGCATGAGTATCTAAATTCCATTTGGGCCTATTCAGCCTATTCATCTTACCCAAAGATGTGTGTGAACCCAGCTGGTTCATTAATATTCTGATAAGAGTGTAAAAGTCTTATATATAGATTTTAATCCTTGGTGGGTGTGCTAGTGGGTGAAGGATGCCGGCCCTTGTGATTCAGCAGCATGTGAGGGACGGAGCAGAATTTTCTCATCATGAGGTGATTTAAGGCAGCAAATTTAAGGCAGCAAATTGTAATTTATCATATTTATAGAATATTAAAGGGGGCTTAACATGGATTATTTTAAGAGTTACAAGCCCTATTTGTGCATTATGTCTGCATAAAACCATATCCATAGGAATCAGTTACTTTGCCTTGTTTCCATGTTTAGGCGAGCAGGGATGATAGTTGTTGAGTTTTTATAGAAACATTTTCAGATGTTTCCTATTGATTCTGCTTCTACCCCATCCTGAGCATGAAGGTTTCTAAATCATGTGGAGCACCTATATATTCACATCAGGATCCCCAAATGAGAACTCACCTTCAAATATATAGATGACAGGGTTCAAAAGCCAGCAGGGGTGAAGCCCGAAGATGTAGATCCATTCTTTCTTTCACATAAGTCTAGTCATATGAGAACCTCATGTGTGGATAGAACTGTTAAAATTTTCTTTATCTACCACACTGAGAGCTTCAGTCAGTTTATGGCATGGGTCTTCCTGGCTGGTTGAGGAATTCTGGGAGTTGAAGTCCACAAGTCTTAAAGTTGCCAAGTTTGAAGATTCCTGGTTTATTGGCTTCCGGGTCAGTATGGCAGACCGAGCAGGATTCTGCTTTTTTGCAAAGCCAAGAAACATAGCCAATATAGGAGCCAGTGAAGGGACTGGATCCTCAGATCTCCTTTTCATTACTATGCAAAAACAGCGATAGATAAAAATTAAAGCCAAACAAACTGTTTGGAAAAGAAATGTACGAACACTCTACTTTTCCATACTGTCCTCTGGTGAGCTTCCTATCAATGGGAACTCTTTTTTAAAAAAATAACTTTTGCTTGATAGAAAAGAAGCACTGCACAGGAACAAGATGGGCTGTCGTTCTTTTCTTTGAATACTTGACACGCTTTAAAGCTCCTCCAAATTTGATTGAACAGTTCAGCTAAAGCCCCCGGTGCTAACAGGATGTCTTATGTCCTATTCATAGAACCTTACTGTGGCAAAACCAGTGCTGAGAAGCTCTTAGATGGACTCCACAACTCCACGGCTGCGGCAGGTCCTAAAAGTCGCAGAAAATCGGGTGCGAGCCCCCTTTAGTTTGGCAAGTGGGTCTGCAGCCAGGTGTTGTGGAATGGAAAGCAAAGGGCGGGAAAGCTTCCGAATTGGGTCCAGCATTTCTCTAGAGTAATGTGTGCTTATTCGTGGCTGAACATACCTCTCAGTCCCGACCAGCAGGTTAAGGGTAGTTCTTACTCAGAAGGTTATACATCCAGTACTTCACCACAATTGGTTAATACAGATTGACTTACAACCATCCATTTAGCCATCCAGATTTATAACAGCACTGAGAAAAAAAGGCTTGTGACTGGTCCTCACGCTTATAACCATGAAAGCATCCCTCCAGGGACATGTAATCAAAGTTTGGGTCTTTACGATGGTTGCAGCATCCTGGGTCACGTGATGGCCCTTTCCAGCAAGCAAAGTCAGTGGGGGAAGCCAGATTCGCTTAAGGACCGCATGATTCATTTACTGCAGTGATTTGCTGAACAGCCATGGCAAAAAGGTCATAAAATCAGGCTTGACTCCCCTCACAATCTCCTCGCTTAGCCTTGGAAATAATGGTCCCTACTGTGCTCATAAGTCGAGGACTGCCGTACAAAACCTCACACTCTGAGAACGCCCATCTTTCTCTTTTCTAGCAATTCTAGGTTCTTTTGATTTTTAAAGATATAAAGGAAATATTTTTTTTTTTAATATATCGGAGCCCCCAAAAGGCCAGGCAGGGCTTTGAACAGCTAAGAATGTAAAGGTTGAGATTGATGTCCATAAAGTTTCAGCCTTTTGTTCTTTCAGGCTTTGCCCCCCCCCCCCAAAAAAAGAGAAGAAATCCTTTTAGAGTTGTGGGTCTTTTAACCAGCAGAATGAGTCCCTTAGTACAAGGAATGATTAGAGCCCTGCCCTGGCATCAGCCACAGAGCTCCTTTGCCCTGATCCTGGGGTGGCCTGTGTCCTGGTGCTTGAGGTTGTACAGTTTTCCACATTGGAACCAGCCTTCATCCAAGGGCCTGTTGCAGCTGGATCAAAGCAACCCCAGCAGGAAATGGTATTTTCCGTTGGAAAATGGAATAAGCTCTTCTATATGTGGATACTGAAGTTGATGGCCCCATTGCCTCATTGCACTAATACTCTTTCCCACCTGGCCGTGGGGTTCTGTAGCTCTAGGAACATTGCACTTTGAGTTGCCAGAGAGAACAGAACCAAAGGCCTCTCCTCCCCTTCCCTCCCCTTCCCTCCCTTATCTTGTGGAAGGTTCTTCACCAGTTTAGTTTTCCTACCAGTAACTTAGATGCTTGCTAGATCTAGAGCAGTGGTGGCGAACCTATGGCACGGGTGCCAGAGGCGGCACTCAGAGCCCTCTCTGTGGGCACACATTCCGTCACCCCAGTCCTAGGCCTTCAGCTGGGTTTTATAAAACCTTTTTGCTTTAAGCCTCCGCCGTCATGTGCAAAAAAAAAAAAAAAAAGGTTCAATCAGTCAATTTCAACTTCTTGTGGGGAAAAAAAAAGATCTTGCAAAGCTGGAATTGATTGAACTTTTTAGTCCCACCCAGTCTGCCGTTACCACCTCAGCCACGCCCACCCAATGGGCCACACCTACCCAATGGGCTACACCCATGGCCACACCCACCCGGCACCCAACGATGCATAAGTGGGTTTTGGGTTGCAGTTTGGGCACTCGGTCTCTAAAAGGTTCGCCATCACTGATCTAGAGACAGCCGTGGGGCTTTCTAGGGAGCATGGCAGAGAAGCCAAGAATCTCCTCGTGAAGACAGGGAGATCTCAATTTTTGGCCATGGGGGAAAGGGACTCCTTATTGTCCCACAGCAGCAGCAGCAACAAAACTCCTAACTCCTGCCTTCATAAGAGGGCAGCAACTTTGGCAGCCTCATTTTGGGGATATGGAAAAGAGGCCATTATTAGGACAGTTGTTTTCCACGTCCTTCCCATCATACAGGCAGGATCCAGGCTTGTAAGGAAGAGACCATTGTTTGCATTAACCATTCTGACTGCAGAATAGGAGTGAATTGCTCGAGGCTATTACTTTCGAGTGTGTGCACGTGCTCACATAATACGTAAGCCTTACCATTGCATTAAGCGTTCTAAAACCCAAGAACATTTTGACCACCTGCCCCTTGGTTTACTTAGTGCTGGTGGCTTCTGCACAAATAGCACAAATAAAGAGAAGGCAATTGACGGTGCTGTCTGAGAGGCATGTTCCCTGCCACCTACAGGAAGCTGGTGTGGTTCTCCACTTGGGTGCTTTAAGTTGTTGTCTTCTGGGCAGGCTGAGGTTGTGGGCTAAAGCTGGTGCTGGTGCTTTCTTCCTCTGAAATGTCTTGGGTGCTTCTGTACTTGACACAGCTTCATTCAGGCACTGATCTTGGAAATGTTTTTAATCACAGAGCCAACAAAACAGATCCTCAAGCAACTGAGTGACAAAGGTGAGGAAGTATTGTTTTTCCCTTCTTCCCTCAGAACTGACTCACTTGTACATATAAGCCATTTCTCTATCATTAGGCAAAGTGATTAAGTTGGTGGTTTCTTTAGATCAGGGGTTCTCAACCTTGGCAACTTTAAGACTTGTGGACTTCAGCTGGGAGTTGAACTCCACAAGTCTTAGTTGCCAAGGTTGAGAACCCCTGTTCTAGATTCTTTTTCTAATATTGCTCTTTTACATATAGCTCTGGCAGTCAGGGCTCAAACTTTGATTTTGAAGGATTCCTGAGTGTTAGTAGAGGGCATGGCCAGAAACACGATGATGTGGGGAGGGATGAGTGGGTCCTGGATTTTCAGTATGATTTGGGGGGGGGGGAAACAGGATTTTTGGGAGGATTGAAGAGACAAAGCGGGTTGTGTCCCTATTTATAGAAAGGAGAGGAGGAAATTGCAGTTCACAATTAGTGTTTTTGCTGCCATATTTTGGCAACACTGGCTGGGGAGTATTAGATTAGCTGTAAACAGATGGTGGAGTCGGGCACAGCTTGTGGGCTGCCTGCACTCATTCATTTGCCATTTTGCTCTCTCTCTAATTATAAGTCTCTAATGATTAAAGTGACTACAGAGCTATACCTTTCAAACTGCATAAAAGATACATATATTCTTAAGACTTGCATATTGTTCATGTCTTCTGATTCTATGTGGGTCTCCCCCCCCACACACACACAAATGGAGAAGGGACACAGGCATCAAACAGTAAACCAGATGCATAACTGAGCCAGGAAATGAAACTTTTACCTTTTGTCCTCTAACTGCTGCTTTCTTCTCTTTTCATGTGCTGCAAATCTTCAGTAGGATTAAAGGTAAGATTCAGAATTTTTTGAAAAGGTGGGAAAACAGCCCCCCTTTTAAAGGAGTTAAAAGTAATGGGTGCCTTTTGGTGAGTCCTCAGTCCCTTAAAATGCTTCTTAAAGCTTAATCCGACCTGTCAGTGGGAGGGCGCTCACTTTTGCCCTAAGGCCTAAGCCATGTTCTGTAGCTCTTGAAGACGTGGAACCATTGAGGAGAAGGGAACAGAAGTCCTGTTGTCATAGCATCCCCTTGCCAAGGCCTTTCTAAAGGACACTCTTGCTTACCCTCACTTCACATAGCATGCAGATAGTGATGGAGCCCTTCTGGAGTTTGGGGATCCCCTACAGATCCCCAACAGCTTATCCCAAGAGGAGGTTCAGCAGACCCTTCCCCAGGAATCTTCTGAAGAGCTGGCTGAAAGTGATGGCAGTGAAAAGGAGACAGGGCTCGAGGAAGAGAATGGAGCTGAGGAGGAGGAAGAGGAAGATGAAGAGGAGGAGGAGGAAGAGGAGGAGGAAGAAGAGGACAGGCTGGTAGGAACGGAGCAGGTGTCAGACTTTGCAAGCTCCTTGATGGCAGTCCTCCATTGCTGGCACTATCGGGCCAATACTTTGCTTTTCTCCTGGGGCAGCACGGTGAGGTGCCTGTTCAATCTCTGCTGCGTCTCCCTTCTGCATGCTGGCTTAGTGCATGGCTTAGGCTGCGCTCCCTAAAATCTTCTAATCAGTTGGAACTGGACCAGAGGGTCTAAAGGATATCTCTAAGAGGAAAGCATTGCATGTCGGACTCTTAACGATTAAGTGGCACTACCAACTTGGCATTTTACGCTCTCCCATACAACCTAACTGGATCTGCGCTTGATAACAAAAGAGAATTGTTGGATCATATTTGCTTTGTCTCTGTTCAAAGTCCATTTTTTACATTTTTTTTCATGTACCAGGAAAGTTCTGCTACATTAAACATTCAATAATGAGACAATGTTCATCTGTAAGTTGTCCTCTTGCCAAATCCCATTCCATGTGCGTTTGTGCCCTTCCTTACTGAAGGCATATATTATAAAGCATTGATCAGCAATGCAGATTTTTAAAAAAGATTGAATTGTACAATTGCTAAATGTTGTAGGATATAAAACTGGCTACAAGACAGAATAAAGGTTGGTCTTAATAGCTGGCTACAAACTGTTTTGTGCCTGGGCAGCAGGTCAGCTGACATCCCACTGACATATGTTCTCCTACCATTTGCTTGGCTTATTGCTGTGTCCCATGGCTGGAATATTAGTCTTGGGCCTAGATAGAAACTTTTGATCATTCTTGAATGTATTTTAGTAGCTGAAGTACACTATCATTTTTTTCCAGTTGTATACATGGGGACATGGATAAGGCTAAGTTACATCAGAATGATAATAGAGAGTGAATAGAGGTATATGGCTGCTCTTGTCTGATAGTCCAGCCTAAACACAATGATTCTGTTCTCAGAACCAACCATTTAGCCCTCTAACAAGATCATTGCTATTTTGGTTCAGGGCAAGGGTCACAAGACACAGCAAGGACCCAAACAAGACCACACTTCCAGCATTAGAGAGAGGATTGTGGAGATTGTGTCATCTGTGGCGAAGGTAAGTAAATGCTTGCAGATAATGCAACTCTGATCAAAGCTCAGCCTAATAGCTATTTCTAATATTTGCATCATGTACAACACCATCTGGTCTGCAATTTGTGTTGTCCACAAGAGATGCAGTATATCAAATGATTTACATTCATATACTGTATTCAGATGAACTAAGTTATAGATACCGTATTTTCCGGCGTATAAGACGACTTTCTAAACCCTGAAAATCTTCTCAAAAGTCAGGGGTCGTCTTATACGCAGGAATATACGGGTAACTGTTCTCTGAATTTAAAACCAATCTGCCCCCTAGTGGTCAGCCCTATTTTTTTTACAGAAATAAGCACTAACAGGATAAAGCTTTCTAGCAGCAAAGGAATGGAGCTCCTATTGTGCTCATCTATAAACAGAAATTCAATATTGTACTGTATTTTCTGGCGTATAAGACGACTTTCTAAACCCTGAAAATCTTCTCAAAAGTTGGGGGTCGTCTTATACGCCCAGTCGCCTTATACGCCGGAATATACGGGTAAGTACAGTTATGGGCTTGAAAATTCTGTATCAAAATAACAACTCTGAAGGTTTGAAACAGTTTCCTAATAGCTAAATACAATTCACTATACAGTCGCATAACAGATAACCATCCAAATGTCATTACAATAATCTAATTCAGGTAAGAATCGGTGAAAGATAGTTTGGTATAGCGATTAAGGCAGCAGAATAGAAACCAGAAGACTATGAGTTCTAGTCTTGCCAGCTGTGTATCTTGGGCCAATCACTCTCTCAGTCCTAGGAAAAAGGCAATGGCAAACCACTTAGGAAAATCTTGCCAAGAAAACTTTAGGGACTAATAGAGTCGACACTGATTTGAAGGCACAAATCATCATCATCGAGATTCCCTCTGTCTTTATCTCTTCTCTTTGATGTGTTCCCAGGTTCCATCACCTATTGAGCTTGACAAAGGGTTAGACATTCCTTCACATAGGGAAGAGTGTCTAGAAGAGAGTCCTCAGCATCCAGATCACCATGGGCTCCTGGATCAAGGTTCAGATATCCTGGAATCTGCTGAAAATGTAGAAGAGCTGAAGCCGTTGAGCAGTGAGGAGGAAGAGGAGGAAGAGGATGGTCATGCACCACAATCCAGCAGCATCCTCCCCTTTTCCGTGCTAGATCAGGCCAGTGTCATTGCAGAGCGCTTTGCCAGCAGCCTCTCCCGTCGCAATAGCTTGGTCCACGAGGAAGGGCAGGGCTACCTCACACCAAAGTTGGCCAGCCGGAGTAGCAGCGTTCTGAGCTTAGAAGGGGGCGAAAAAGCGGTGTGTTGCAACAATGGCTGCGCTACTGTGGAGTCCCAGAGTTGCAGCATCCCGCAAGAGCCCTCTGCTGAACCTTGCAACGGTGCTTGCAATGGTGCAGCGCGGCCTGGCCTGGTCGAGTCTGACCATTCTTCTTGTCGACGGAAGGAATCAATGCTGTCCCAGCAGGATCGGCTGCTGCTGGACAAGATCAAGAGTTACTATGATGATGCCGAGCACCAGGATGCTAACTTCAGTGTCAGGCGGAGAGAGAGCCTGTCCTTCATTCCCAAAGGGCTGGTGAGAAATTCTGTTTTTCGGATAAACAGCCTTCCCCAGCCAGAGCCTGGGCAGGAGGTGCTGAAGAGGAAGAGACCGCCCCCCTTGGACAGTACTGTAGCAGGCAAGGCAGGATCCTTGATGCTTTCAAATAGGCCTGGTGTTGCACTCCCGTCTCCCCATTTGGAGACCGCCAGTGAGGAAAACCTGATGCCTATCACTGAAGCAGAGTTCAGATCACCTAGTGAGGTGATTAAACTCTGGGAGGAGATGGAGGAGCCAAAGAGCAAGCACTGGAACAGGAGGACGGAAGACCTTAGGGAGCGCAAAGCAAATGGGGGCCTGGGCCAGACTTATTTGAAAGACAGGCTTGGAAATCAGGAGAATGGCTTTGACTTTCATGAACCACTTCTTATCCTGGAGGATGAAGATCTTGGGGACATAGTAGAGGAGGGGCCACTGGTGCCCCCTCCTGAGAACAAGGCTCCTGTGGAGCAGACCGTGCCATCCAGATTACCCTGGAAAGCAACACAAGAGTTAGGGAGCCGTGATCAGGATCAGAGTTTCCCTCAGATGCCCCCTCACATAATGCGGCTGGCTCACCTCACTGAGGCTGAGCTGACAGAGAAGGTGAAGAACAAAGTCTACCAGCTGGCCCGCCAGTACAGCCTTCGAATTAAGAACCAGAAACCACCCATGCGCAGGCGACTTGCGGAAGTAGAGGAGGAGATGCAGAGAAACACCTTGCCTGGCCAACAGGGAGTGGTTAAGAGAGACAAAGGTATGTATGACCAAGAAGACATTTGCTGCTATTATCTTAGTTACAGCCATACCTAGAAGCCAGGTTGCTAGGCAAAGAAAGGGAGATTATTACTATTCATCTATTCCGCAGGCTTGCCTGTCCTTACATTATTAATAAAAGAAAGAAAAGACATTTTACTTAAAGAAATGCTTTGCTTCTAAAACTTGCAGGCTGATCTCTTAGCTTGTTATATTATATATTTACTTTTATCATCTCTCTCTTTTTTTTAGTAGAATTCCAAGATGGCTCGCAGTATTGAAATCGTACAATATATAAAATTTAACATGGGGGACATTAGCAGATTATAATAAGCAATTTCCCCCTTGGCAATAGTGTCATTGTCATTGCGTTCCATTGGGATTTCTTTTTGCCTTTCCAGTCTAGCTGAGACCCCCAGGATTTCATTAATTAATCCTGATTAAATGCTTACCAAACCTAACCCGATTTAGCTTTCTGAGATCAGCCAAGCTCAGTTAGGAGTGACAGGTAGTCCTCAACGTACGCCCACAATTCTGAAGCCAGAATTTCCATTGCTAAACGGGAGCTTATGAAGTGAGTTTGTGCCCAGCTCTAGTACCTTTTTTTTGTTACCATGGTTGTTAAATGAATCACTGCGGTTGTTAAGCGTATTATGCAATCATTAAATGAATTTATTTTCCTCCATTGACTTTTTGGAAGCTAGCTGGGAGGGTCATAAATGGTGATTGCATAAACTCAGGATGCTGCAACTAGCATAAATACATGCCATTTTTCCAAGTATTTAAATTTTGATTACGTGATCTTGGGGATGCCGCAAAGGTTGCAAGTGTGAGGACTGGTCATAAGTCATTTTTTCAGTGTGGTTGTGACTTTGAATGGTGGCTAAATGAAGGGTTCTAGGTCAAGGACTACATAGCCTATTTAAAAGCCAGGTCATCAGGGAAACACCTGCCCTACCTCTTTGAGAAGGGAATTAATGAGCTAAGATGCCACATTTCTACTCCTGAAAGCTCAAAAGTCTATGGCAGGGTTCTCCAACCTTTTTGGGTTGGCGGACCAGTGGGAGAGGGAGGGGCAGGCGCCTTACGCATTCACGTTATGCGCAAACGTGAATGTGGTCACACGTGTGTGCCCACGTACAAAGAGACTGAGCATGCACACCACACAAATGTGCCGCTCCCCCATGTGAGGCTCTTGCTGCAGCCCATTTGCCATTTGCGGCGCTGCTGCTGCCCACAAGGTTTATGGCAATGCCACCTGCATGTGGTGTGGCGCCACCTATCTGCCACTTGCAGCACTGCTGCCCTCGCACAAAGTTGATGGCTATGCCACCGCCCACACGATATTAGCAGCGCTGCTACTGCCTGCACAACACTCATGTCAGCAGTGGCATGGGGGGGTGATCACACACACACACATTGCCCAGCTATTCACGCAGCCCAGCAGCCAAGAGGCCACGGCCCGGTAGTGGGCGACGGCCCATAGGTTGGGGACCTCTGGTCTTTGGAGACTGTCATTTTGTTGGCAGCAGCATGAGGAGCGAGGTCTCTGATGACGGAGCAGGGGAATAGATACATGCAGGAGAACCAGGCCTTTCAAGCCATTTAGGACAAGAGTTTAAGTTTGCTTAAAATACTGGAAACTTTAATTAATTAACTTAGTGGACAGGGATTTGGAATGGCTCCTGTAAAGTTTTGTGCACAATATATACCATCTTGAACTGAACCCAGAAAGGAATTCTAGCCAGTGGTTAAAACAAAACTGCAACAAAGTGATCAGAAAAGCAAAACTCTAGAAACATCTTTGATTCCCGTTTTGTGTGCCAACTGAAGCTTCTAAATATTGCTTGTGACCCCACCCCCATGAGAATGTATTTCAGGTCATCCTTGACTTATGACCATTAATTGGGACCAGAATTTCCATTGCTAAGCAAGGCAGTTGTTAAGTGAGTTGTGCCCAATTTTACGACCTTTTTTGCCACAATTGATGTGAGTCACTGCAGTTGTTAAATGAGTCTGGCTTCCTCCATTGATTTTGCCTATCAGAAGCTGGCTTGGAAGATCATAGATGATGATCACGTGATTCTGGGATGCTGCAACTATCGCAAATGCATGATAGTTGCCAAGCCCCTGAAATTTGATCATGTGACCCTAGGAATGCTGCGACGGTCATAAACACAAGAACTGACCATAAATCGTTTTTTAAGTGCTGCTGTAACTTGAACGGTTGCTAAATGAAGGGTTTTAGATTACCTTAAGTTTTAAGCTAAAGACTACTTGTATAACAGCATCCAATTGGAAAGAGTTTAATTCAGGATTAGACAATCTGGTACCTTCTAGATGTTTTGAATCAACTTCCATGGATCCTGCAAGTCTGATTCATGGAAAAAGATATTATTAAAGCCTGGGAGTTGCTTTGGATATTGAGATGGGTGGCATAAACATTTAATAAATAAAAATAAGTATATAAATATTGGAAGTTCTCCAAATATTTATAGGCACAAGATCCTTTGCTCATGGAATAAAATATATTTGACATTGGCTAGATCTTTCTAGGAAAGAAGGAAGAACCACTTGAAATTCATGTTACACTATTAGTCTGTTTTCAATAGCATCCAATAGGAGAATTAGAGATTGTGGAGTCCTTGGTGGTCTCTGAGCTTGGTTGTTTTCTTGCAGATGTTTCATTATCCAGCTTCCAACTCTGACAGGGCAAGCTACTGTATATAAACAAGAGCAAACCTAGTTACCTAGGTTTGTTACCTAGTTGGGTAATGAAACGTTTGCAAGAAAACAACCAAGCTCAGAGACCATCAAGAACTCCACAATTCAAACCTGAGTTGCAAATATTCTCTTCTACTAAATTAGACATTTTGGTTGAATCATTCTTCATTAACAAAGTATCCGTTCTTCTTTTGTCTCCTGTTCCCTTAATTGTCATAACTGGAGTAGTATGAAGTGATCCTACTTTAGATAGAAACAGGAGTATGGTTTTTCAGATGAAACTTAGTAAGTTTCTGAGTTCCATTTAGGTTTTGAAATAGAATCAAGAGAGGCTCAATAGTGGTAAGAAGAGAGATACCGTAAATGCCGGCGTATAAGGCGACTTCCGCGAGCGCTGAAATTGGCGCCAAAGACGGGGGTCGTCTTATACGCCGAGTTGTCTTATATGCCGGAAATACTGGTAGTTTCCGGCGTATAAGACGATGTTCTAGGAATGCGGCCCAGCGATAAAGATGGGGGTCGTCTTGTATGCCGGGTCGCCTTATATGCCGGCATATACGGTACTTTCTTTCTTGAATGTTTGGGATACTATAACCAGCACATTGCCATTCTTGATATCCAAGGTTATAGAGCTGCAGGTTCTCATTTTTGACTCCTACTGTAAAAACGTGATTTGTAAGTACAGAGTTGCTACTAACTAGGCAAAAGTGTTAGGTTGTAAGAGAAAGAATGAGTTTCCCAATTCCATTGAGTGGGTTGGTTCAACAAATTCCCCTCTATTGCCTTATTCTGACCTTTTTTTTTTTTTTTGCTTAGGCCAAAAGAAGTCTACCTTGTGTCTCCCCAACTACGAACAAATTGTGCTTCAGGAGGCTAGCTCACTGGGCCTTCTTTCCTCTTCTTCAACCTGTCAGAAGTCACCTAAGCGCATCTCTTCCAGCAACAGCTCTGTCAGCCTATCTTCCTCCACCGGCTCTTGCACCCTCTCTCACAGTCCCCTCAGCCCCATCATGACTGAGAAATTCGACTGGCCCGATGTGCGGGAGCTGAGGTCCAGGTATTCCTGTCAGGTGGCGACTGAGAAATGCAGACCCCCGCTAGTCAACAGAAGTTGCTCAGCACCTGAGAAAATGGTAGATGATGCTAAGATGCAGGCAGGATTCCAATACTCAAAGGGGATTGCAAAAACAGACTTAAAAAGCCAGCAATGGGACAAACAGAGCTACAGGAGAAAGGGCTCTCTTGATTCCATCCCCAAGGAACTTATATGTGATACTCCAAAGGAATTGTGTGTCATAGCAGAGGCATCATTGGAGAACAACCAGCATGTGATTGTCATAGAGAAGTTGCCCGAGGGGACTAATAAAGCTAAAGCCGATGAAAGAGAGCCACAGATTCACTCCTCTTCGGCCCAAGAGAAGCTTTCTCTCAAAGAGTTGATGGAGCAGTACAAGTCGTATCAAGACTCAGAAGAACATCACAGACATGAAGGTGATGTTCAAGAAGCATGGTGGGAGAAAACAGCCGGCAGCCATAACAACCTGGTAAAAAACTTAAGAGAGAAATTTCAGACCCATAATTCTACCAGCTGAACACCTGCATCTCTTGCTCCCATGCCATTAAGTTCTCAAATCTCCATCTCTCCTTGGATTACTACTCAGAATCTTCTTTGCCTGTTCTACATCATGCTTGAAATTTCTGGGAAGTTTGCAACGGCCTCAAACTGAGGATTTTTTTTTAAAATGCTCTCTAAAATTTAAAGATCATGGATCTGACTTGCCACTGACACTGCACCGGGCAGCATTATTGAGCAGATCTCTTAATACATCTAGAAAAATCAGGGAGTTTCAAGTCAAAGCAGGGGCAATACAGATCAATCATCCTTTGAACATGTACTTCCCTTCAGGAACTGGCCTATTGGGGAGGTTTTGCATTATGAAGCCAGAGCAAGACGTACATTGCTCAGTCTCCTAGGAAAATAAGTTATTATTCTAAATTTTCTTTTCTTTTTTTTTAAGAATGTAATTTTACTATGGCTTAGGTTGATTCCAGGCCACCCAGCTTAGGAACATCCAACCTAATACTGTTTGCGTACATATTTGAATCTATATGCATTGTGCAATAACCACTTTTGACCAGCGGGGGAGGGATATAATTGGGGAAGATTGCAATAACTGATTTTTGTACCACATTTCCTATGCACAAAAAATGCTACAAAGCTGATTGGCAACTCTTGAAGTCAGTGATCTCTCCTAGATCAGCAGTACCAAGGAATGACCCTGGTATATTAATCCATTTGGGTTCTAAGCCATTTCAAGTCACCTCACTTCATTTTAGCCCATCTTAGTATAATTTGTCTTCATTAAAATACCTTTTGAGCAAAGAAATCCTATGGGGTAAAAAGTTCTCTTCATATTCCAATATGGAGGAAATAAATGGTAACCATTCCAGGACTAAGATATTTTCTTCCTATTTCCAAGGCAGGTTGACAGTTTTCTTCCTATAGATCCATAGCCTCTGTCAGAACACCATATTTTTTTCCCTGTCATCGGAGCATTGTTGTTTGAGAAGCAGTGGTTGTGAATCTCTTGCAACCTGATGACCGAAACAAGATTGGGTCTCTCTCTTGAAGCACAGAATTCTCTGCCCTTGCAAATCTAACCAGTCTTGTAGCCTTTGGAATGCTCTTCTCAGTATGGGAAGAATCTAAAGTGCAGTTAGACTACTTTGGCTAAGAGTAAATGCTGCTTGAGAAATAGTTGCATATGCAATTTATGCCAACTGTAAAGCTCTGTAGCCTGAGTTGATGAGACCACCAAAGCTTCTGAAGGAGATAACATGATCCTGAGTGTGTATCACCTGTAGAAAACACCCAATGAACCTTTGCACTGGAGACATTTCTTCATCACAGAAAGCACTAAGGCATTAATGTGTACCATAAAACATCACAACTTAATAAGGTATGTTAGTATCCTTTCCTTTGTATTTAAATTGAGATAGTGGATTATTTAAGCATACTGTTCCCTTATGGTTTAGGAAGACAAATTACGCACACATACACACACAAACTCCCCAAAAAATCACAGAGCCAGGAAAAGCTTATTGGTTCATTTATTAGAAAAAAAAATGTTAAATTGCTTCTGAAGCACATTCTGAAGCTTTAGCTCTTTTCTCTGGACAGTGGAAGCACATTGGAAGCAGGCAGAACGTGATGCCTAGCTGTGAAAAGAGGATTAACTCCAGCCCCCAGATCCTGTAGGAGAGGCCTTGGGCTACTTCAGTAATTGGTACTCTGAAGTATATGTATTCTGGGCCCAGTCACAGGACATTCCCTTCTAACGTGCTGACTTGCATAAGTGGGATTGTGAAAAGCAGTTGAATCAAAAGGGAAGAGCCCAGACAAGAGAAGGCTACCGATCACCAGGCAGGAAATGGATCCTATGGATAACGCCAATGCTTTTGGTCTGTAATAGGTAAGAGCGTATTGCTGCAAGACACAGTCAACTCTACCCAATGCCTACAAGCTGAGAGATTTGTAATGGGTTCAAAAGCCCAGTTCATGACAGATTAAACAAACAAGATGGAAGAAAATGCACCTAAGGGGAATACAGCCATTTTCTATAAGCAGGTAGTGCAGTGCGGGGCAGTGGTCCTCATAAAGCAGGAATAGCCTCAAAGAGTATCTTAGTCATGTTTTTATTTCAATTATCTGAAAATGGGCAATGCACTACAAGTTTAAACTCGGGAGTGACAGGTGAAAATGTCCTCCAAGAAAACAATGATGAGACTTATCTCTTGCTGTACATGTCCCCACTGAGTGCTAAAATGTACAAGTGAAATGCATTTAAGCAAAATGTTCAATAAAAAACCTTTTGATGACTTTTGCAAAAGAATCAGTTGAGCATATGCCAATCTTAAAGCATACTTTGGAATATAAAAACAAATTTGCTGAATCCATATTACTCCTTTCCTGTTGCCTGAGAATAGCTTTATACAAGGTAAAAAAAAAAAAACTATAGTGAAATTCCAACCCTATGCTTCCTTTCTTTGGCTTAACTTGATATGTGCTCTAATAAAAGTGTGCTGGTTAGTATACCTTTTTTTCCCCTATAAGCACAGATTGGAAGAGCAGAGAAGAACACTTTCTTCCTGTCCCCCGATATGGATTAAGATCAAAAGGGCCCTTAATCCAGAAGTGACTGGGAATAAGCAGACTTGAAGCCTACTTGGCCGAAGGGGGCTAAATCACAAATAACACTACCAAATTTAATGAGCCCATGTGCTCACAATGGCATGTTTATTTGACCTACAAACCAAACTCAAGTTTGGTGTTTTATGAGGCCTTACACAATGTTAGGTAGCCTTCATACTGTATTATATTAGTAGATTTCTATGCCTCCTAAACATACACTGGGAGAAAGTTGGCAGTGATGCTTCAGAATAGTTTTGGAAGGGAAAATTCACAATGCAGACCATTATAGTACTATTTTTTAAAAAAAATAAGTTACACTAGCATATCAAATGTAGTAGTTTGGATCTGCCCATTGAGTTAATATGAGTTTATTGCCTACCCATTATAATCAAGGCAATTTGGAAAACCACAGCATTTTGAGATACAACAAAAAAGAACTGAAGAATCCAAAACCTTGGTTCTTAGGACTTCTATCCACACGCACTGCAATTTATATTAAGCAAAGAGATGGTTCCCCCACATGCACTCTTTTTAGCTGTAAAATTCGGCTTGCAGCATCCTTTCAAGTAAGAAAACCCCAGATCTTTCTATGCATGGTGCTTATTGAATTTGCTCACTCCAGAAGCAATAATTATGAAATGTCCCTAGGTTAAGGCACTTTTAGAATGGTATAATATCATCCCAAACCAAAAATATTAAGTTTAATGAGCCCTAGGGATTGGATGTTGAAGAGAGAATTAAAGTTTGGCCGGCTTTGTAAGAACTGAAAATCCCCATCAAGAATGACACACTTGCCAAAAGGCCATTGTAGGAACATCAGTCCCACAGGTCTGTTAAACTCATATGTAACTGGATTTCCATGAATGTTTTTCAGTAAGCAATTCAGCTGATAATACTCTTTGCCTTTGCACTGAATTCGTGCTTCAGATTGGGGGCTTGTGACACTTCATAAAGGAGGGTGAGGAGTATCTATTTTAAGGAGCCATTCACGAAAACACCACAACAGACATTGCTGCAGAAGAGAGAAGCTGAGGCAAGCGCATGCTCAGCACATGTTCCACAAAGGAACAACAGAAGAGCCATTTGCTTCTGGCAAGCTGAGCCAATACAGGACAGATATGTTTAAAAGCTTGTCGGCAGGCATAGCACCTGCACTCTAGTTGCGTGGCAAAGTGTTATATACTTTGCTGTAAAGAATGGGATTAATAAGAATCTCACTAAATAACATGGAGCACAAGTTGGTTGCAAGTTAGGCCCACGGAACTCTCTCAATTTAAGTGGTGGGAGAAATGCATAAGTCATATTAGCTGGATTGTGCTCATAGTGTTGTGTAGAAAGTGAATATGATTTATTTCCTGGGTGTGTAGTTCTACAAACATCTCAATTCCAAACAATTTAGTGCATAAGTTTGAATATAGATAATCTGATTTTCTGGCTATACTCTGAACCTACTATGACTATCGGGGATTTTGCCTGCAGTTTATTGGGTGTAGACTGAACCCTTGAGTTGAAAAGATACTGTGCTTTATGACATGAACGTGTGTGACTAGATTGCAGCTCTCCACAGAGAGAGGCATTTGGCCTTCAGAAACTCCATCCTGACAATCTAGCATGAATGCTGCAATAAGCCAGGAGCTGGATGAAGGCATGATCTTCTGAGGGAGAGAGAGAATTATTCAACTATCGTTTCTAAATTCCATGTGATGATTCTATGCCAACTGGAGATGGGGAAATCGGCTTACAGAATCCTGAGCTTTGGTAGTGATCCGGCGATACAAAGAAAAGGAAACTGCTTCAAGACTTGCACCCTTTTTTTCATCCTCTTTGGCCTGCTAGGACTCCCTTCCACTCCTTTTCTCTGTAACATTCCTGAAAAGCCATACAGCATTGTTCTCTTAAACAGTATTTTTTCCGGAGTGATGTCCACTTGGTCAGCCATCCAAGAATATGCCTCTCCCAGCTCTGTTTTGGAGAACGTGGCTTGTCCTGAAGCAAGGATGCTGCTTTCTTCCCTGAAACATTGGCTTTGTGCCATCTGGGGAGATGTGGTGAAAAATGAAAAGGAGGAAGTGAGATCTGTGTGGGGAACAGTGCTGGGTGGTACCAGGGGTGTCCAAGGAGACCAGTGCATGCAGTTGTTCACTATGGACCTTAGCAGCACATAGGCATCTGACTGGAGCAAGTGGCTACTTCTTTTTGGGAAAGAAGCTGAATCTCTTCTCTTTATCTTTCTTGGTCAGGTTCACATCTGCGGTGGTGATGGGAGGCAGAGGGAGGCTCTGAGCCTTGGATTTAATGCTTTGGGAGTCAATTATTGCTGTGCTGAATCCCAGGAGCCAGGTGTGCATCTCATCCTGTGGAGGAGGGCAAAACGAAAACAAAAAAACAACCCAAATAAGCCAAAAAGCACGGTTACGCTTTTCATTTGCAAGATGCTACCATCAGCGAAAATGAATTAAAAAAAAATGTAATTTAGAGTAAGAAATGAGTTTGTATTTAAAACATGACTCCAATAATTTCCTCACAAATGGTCCAAATGTACTGTAAAATTGTAAATATCCCCCTAAGGGGCGGGAATATGAAGGAAAATTAAAGGAAATGAAGGAAAGCAATATACTAAAATTGAACAATAGCCAAGAAATTAGCTGCAATGTGAATGATTGAACTATATAATGCACAGAGCAATCCTAGGCACACTTACCTAGCAGTGAGTCCCACTGAAATCTACTTCATAAGACCTACTTTTGACTGAGTGTCTTATATATGAAATCATCTGCTTATTCAACCTGCTTTTGAATCTGAAAAGAAGAGAACCTGAAGGGAGAGATTCTTCCTGCTTCCTTTTTATTGGAAATCAAGCTCCAAAATGGAAATATAAAGATCTATTTTATGTTTTTTTCTTCTGCTGGTGCAGGTCCATAGAATTTGCAGGTTGAAGAAGCCACCTGACATTTTTCAAGCAGAAAAATAGGCTAAACATATTTGAAATAAATGAATATACTCATTTTCTATTACCAACGCTTCAGAGAATAGAGCGCTGCAGAGCTGCCCATATTTGGTATCATCTGTTTATTTACCAAAATACAGAAGCAGTCCGGGGGAAGAAAGCAGGCACAGAATCAATAACAAAAAGAGCAACACCACTCATTTGAGTGCCCTCTTTTCCAGAGCTGTTCCTTGATAATAAAGCTCCAACCATTCAGAAGTTTCCTTTTTTTTCTTTTCAGAAGAAAGTTTAAATCTATTTTGTCTCCTTCCTATTCAGGGAGGTATGTCTGATTGGCTTTGACACGCTCAGTGTTAATTGTTTAGGCACACCAAAGCATTTGAATAGCAAAATGATAGTAATGACCCTTAATCATGCTATACAGTCCATATTTCACTATCTGAGAAAGATATTCAAACACTTACCTCATCTTTGCCATGGAAGAGCCATTCACTCCCATTGCTGAGTCTGCAAAAAAATAATAATTTGAAAATACTGCAAGATACATCTTTTTGGGGGAGAGCTCACATGATGTTTGCATTTCAATTGTACAAAACTCAGCTGGAGAATATAAATATAGAATGTTATACAGTTTAACAATCAAATATTTAAGGTCTTGGAAGATACCAAAATAACTGGTTCAGTCTCTTCAGTTTTAAAGTCAGCAGCCATCCTTTGTCTTTCCTCAAGAGACCACCTTCTAGCAGAGCTGTATAGAATGTTTCACTGACAGAATGCTTGCAAAACAATCTTTCCAAAATGGCTGAGCAGAAACTCAAATAGCAAATGTGGTTCAGCGTAAAGCAGACATGTCAAACACAAGGCCTGGGGCCGGATGCGGCCCGCGAAGTGGTTTCATGTGGCCTGCGAAGCCATCCTGGAAACAGTGAGGGAACAGCCCCTGCTGCCTTGGCCCTGGCCCAGGCCGGCCAGGAGCCAATGTATAATTTTGTGGTGGCCATCTATGCTGAAATGCATTCAGTCTTAGCTCCACAAAGCTGTCTGGAAACAGTGAGGAACCAGCCCCTGCCGTGTCAGCCCCACCCCTTGGGTGCATGCCGGGGAGGTTGGACCCTTTGTGAGGCATGAAGAAATGCACCATCACCTGGAAGTGGCCAGCAAATGGCCCTCGCCTACTTCACATATCTGGCTTGATGGGCTCCGGGGGAGGGGTTTTGGCAGGTAGCGGGGCGCTCTCCTCACAACACTGAGAGGCTGAGACAGGCGGCGCAAATCCAAAAGAAATGCGAGGCCGCCCAGCTTCCAGCCTGCCCGGTTTCAGCAGGCAGCGGGGCGCTCTCCTCACAGCGCAAAGAGCTGAGCTGGGTGGCACAAATCTGATAAGAAGTGCAATGCTGCCTAGCCCCCAGCCTGCCCAGTTTCAGCAGGCAGCAAGGTGCAAAGTTGGCGAGCTTCGCACTGCCCGGCTCAACCTCTTGGCGCTGTGAGAGCGCCCCGCTGCCTGCCGCACCCACGCCCACCCAGTAGGTCATACCCACTCCATCCACGCCCACCCAATAGGCCACACACACCCTGGCCACACACACCCGCCCCCCCCCCCGAGGGCAACCACAATGCTGATGTGGCCCTCAATGAAATTGAGTTTGACACCCCTAGCGTAAAGGGATAAAATAAGAGGATCCAAAATGGGAAAAAATGTCCTTGTTTGTTATGAAGGCTCATGAGGATAGAGGAAAAAAGGATCTTTGGAA